ACATACAGGATTGTTTATTTTTGATGCATGAAGTTTCGGTTTTGATATAATTGCTTAAAGGACGCTTTCCTTGATATGCAATGATTTTTATCATATCTGTCCAACCGTTGTGCATAAATTATTGTTACTACTTCAACCAATATTTATGAATTTATACATACATCGTTTTTAAAATAATGAATACTAAGAAACAAACCGCCCTTGGATTTATGTGTTTATTGTGAGTGAAAATACTGAGGACCGCTACTGCCTACCATAAACCGATTATATAGAGAAGAAATTTGTTCTTCAGAGCTGCTACTTTTGAAACATATTGGAATAGAGCTAATACTATTGATATGGGACCTTGACAACTGATTATTACTCTTCCGGCAGATATTAATATTTGGGTATGCCAGCAGAGTAAAGATATGATGCATGGCGTATTAATGATGCAAGCATCCTTTGCCCGCTCAATAAGATAATCGGAATTTAAAGTGGAGTCACTCGGTAAAGATTTGGATAATTAAATCCGGTAAAATTATAATTAGTAAGAAATCTGATTGAACCGATCGAAGACCATCGGTAACAAAACGTGCGATTAGAGCTCGGTAATCGAACGTTTTTCTCGTTCGTATGTCGAGCGCTTCGTTTTTGTAATCCAAATAGAACGGTTGCATGCAGTTGTAGTTTTTGTACGTTTCGAGATTGACTTCTTAATCTTGTAACTACAGTCTAACAAGGCAACCTTTGCAGTAGGTAATTTCGCATTTATTTCTCTCATATCAACAGAAATTGATTTTATGTAATGACTCTGATGTTTGGAGACTGTTGAATCTCGTCGATAGAGTAATAAAAATCGAATAAAAAAGATTTGTATCCCCGACATTAAGTAAGACTAATACTCGATTGGTTTTGTCTGCCAACATCACTATGCGTCTCATGTGTAGTCGCGCTCTGGATTCTTGCTCCCTTACGGAAACTGGAAATAAAAACCGACACGTGGACGAGCCAGATTTGTTTGCTCTTCTATATCGGTTACTTCTTGGCTAATAAACGGGCTCGTCAAAATAATAGTAGTAGTTTGGCCGCAATTAAAAAAAAAAGAAGAAAGGATATTATTAGAAATAAAATATATCTGTCCCTCGCTAAGATGTAAAGGATGCAATCTTTATCATTCTGAAAAGCTGCAGACTTTAGATAAGACTCTTTAATAGACGCCACTGAAAAGACCATTAAATAAAAATATCTGATTTTGTTCTATATTAACAGCTTTTGCCGTCAAAAATCAATTACAACTGCCTGCGTTAAATGTCAAAGCAAGGTATTACCATTTACTGAAAAACGGCGCAAGCATTACTCATTACAACTTGAAGCTTTCACGCTCTCTAAACGTATCGTAAAACAATTGAACTGTCGAATACCTGAAGTTAATCTCAAGCGTCTTAACAACATCACACGTTCCGTTATTCACCTTTGAGTCGATGATCAACACACTTAACATTAAGATTTTACAGTATTGTGCTGCCTGTCATTTGGCTATAAATAATCTATTATGGTTTGTAGCCTGGCGCAATAGAAACTTTGTTCATATATAGACTGATTACGAATACAAGAATTAGCTTTGGTTCCTGTTGATGCATTACTTTCGAAGATCACGCAAATAAAAATAGAAATACGAGGGTCAGTTTTCGAAAAATGACAACGCTACACAGAACCTGAAGATCCCAATAGTGTTGCCAAATGTCGATTAATAAAAATTGTACGACGCACTAAGGGGACCCCATCACGATAGACAATCTCCTATATCTCTTCGTTATTCCTAAAAATAAGTCATGCGTCTAATCAAAAAAGTCATCCAACACGGTTTGTAACCTGCGCGATTGTTTTATTTGTTTACACTTTTCGTTTCGTACTAAAAATACTTACGATTGATCAACATCCAAGACGGAACCACTCTATGGTACCTAACTTTACATAAATCAACTTTTCCGCTTTCTACAATATTTCATATTAACAAGCTTTTAATGGAAATCTTTGGGAAGAGGTTGGAAAATCACATATGTCAATTTAATTTATAGCATGTCGTCAAAATAATGGACGGAACGGTATAAGATAGGCTATTGAGTGGCAATAAGTAAAACAATGTGTTGTACTATGAAAGCATATCTGTAAAGTTTCATGTCTGTCCGACTATTTCTCGTTGCACTATAAAAGGAAAGAATCGTGGTGAAAAACAAAACAAATTGCAAATAGGTTTTTTATTATGAATTGGACTTATAGCTTTAATACTATGTATATTATTGAAATAAATAAAAAAGATGAGAGCTCTTGTTTTGTTATAATTTGTATTAGTAACATCTAACGAAGTCTCTATTCACTTACTTTTTCGGCATTAAATTTTCAACATTATTTATTAGACTTGAAAGGTGGCGGTCACTTCTAATTCTGTCTAATAACTAATTTTTTGCCACTGCTGGAATGCCTTAGCAATTGTTGTTGATAATGGTCGGCTCTTGCTTGTTCTTGGGATTTCTCCTTTTCGCTTTCGGCTAATTTTTAGATATTCAATAGCTTCAATGACTGCCGGACTTGCTTTTTTCGGGTTCTTCATTTGCATTAATGCCTTTCTTTATTTAGATATTCCTGGAGAATTTTGGTATCATTTATAAGGGGCCATTTGTTCTTTGTTCTTTTTTTAAAATAGAAAAACTGTAATTTTGGATTTCAAAGTGGTTCAGATGTCAATGAGTTATATAAAGATAATCCCATATTAACGTTAAACATGTTATATCATAGTTCAAGTAAAAGATTATCTTAATCAAGTTGATTGGTGTGATATAACAATACGGTAAATGTAAAAATGCAATTTATAAGCGGCTGTTAAATTTTAGCCACATCAGCCTTCGTGTTTATGTCACATGATGAATGTCTACTTGCCCCATTAATATTAATGTCATTACAATAGTATAACGATAATAGCAATTTGTATGGAATCCAAATGTGGTAAACTGTGTAATTTTTTTGTGTAATACCCGGACTTTTCGCTTAAAGATGTATACTTTTTCCGCTCTCTTTGGAAACAGCTCACGAATCCCATGTGCTATCACACTTGGACAAATTTGTCTGACAAAACGGGGCAATGTTTGATTCTGATTCTTCTTTTCGCTCTGACTCGATTTGTTTCATCAAGTTCGGTACAATGCTAAAGCTATCTTTTTTGCTTACATTCTTCTCGGGCTCACTGCAGGTTGACAACCTTTCGAATACAAGAGACGAAAAGGAGGTTTTTTCAAGGTGATACTAATTTTAAATCTTGTGCTCGCTTTTCTTTAGTCAGCGAATCGTAATCAATGAAGAATATACTTTATCATCAGGGAGACGTTTCTAAATAGATGCATTTTGGTACAACAATCGTAATTCAAAATCACACCAAGGACAAAAGATTGACAAAAAGGTTTCATTTTTTTATTAACTTTATTTAGTTAATGCGATCACAAACTATCCCGATTTGGAGAATGCAACCCCGCCTTGCTTTCATTCAAAACTCATTTATTAGCCTGTGCACTAATTATTGGCACGCAAATCCCCTCGGAAGCAGGCTCTTCCAACAGACATCATTGATACATATATAAGCCCTCGATATTGTTGTTCGAGTCAAGCCGGAACACTTTAATAGTTGATCAACGTAGTTTTTTTGTTAACATTCATCTACGAGCATGTCCAAAACTCCGAAAACTACTACCAATGACTCGAACACACAACCAACAGTCTCGATGGAACCACCGCCCTATAGCCCTCTCGTAGATGTCAGGTCGTTTACATTCACAGAAGAAGAAGCTGATAATACAATCTCTGTATTAACCAAACAAGCACATGGTACAAAATATTCCATTGTTCCTCCTGCTGTAGATAAACCGTATTATTCGATAGTCCATCGGGAATCAGGAAAATTTTGCTGGGAGCTCAAGAAACGCGCTGACTCTCCCAAAGAGCGGCCAACTCCAGCATGGGACATAACAAATCGACAGTCAGCACCATCGCCGATGACATATGAAGAGAATCTCTGCGGATACGTCACATCATACAACGGAAAAGTCTTTCTGTGGAAGATGACAAAAGGTGGTGGACTCTATTGCGTAGAAGGATTAAACAGTGCTGGGACAAGAGTGGCAGAGTATGATACGGTGTTCGACAGCATAAATATCGATATTTCTCGTCGAGAATCGGCAGACGGTCCTTATGCTGATGGTACATCTTTTGAGACATTTATGATCCTGACGGGCTATATAGTAATGATTGAAATCCAGAAATTAGAGAAGAGACTTAGGTGTCCGTCGCTAATTCCCAGTTGGGCTTTATCTCTTTTGTGCTGCGGATGTTTTTGTGTTTAGTGATTGTTTTTGATGATGTCGGGCCTTTTTCTTTTTTCTTTTTTTTACGCAAGCACACATGATTTACTGAGGGAATGGACATTGAAGAGTTTATGTGTGCACTTTTTATTTAATTTACGCTTAAAACTAGCTACCCCGAATGCGTGGGTCGCACTCGTTGTTTAACGACTGGACTTTATTTGAAAAAAGAAACACCAACTCCCCCTCCTTACCATGCCTTTTTTTTTTCAGCATTGTTATATAATGCATATTTACTTTTATACAAAAGAAAAACTTAATTTCTTAATACGATCCCATGACTGTTCATGCTTACGATACTTGGTAATGTAGACACTATCGGAACATGCGCATGTACGCTGATTCACATTTGAGATTAGTTAGTTGTAACATTTCAGCGATCAAGATGCAATTGATGAGACTTACCAAGAATCAATGCGCCAGCGCCTGTTAATGTACCTAAAGAGAAAATATTCAAAAGATGAGTAACAGCGCACGAAAAAAAAAAAAGTCTAATTAAAACTTTAATAATAAAAGTCTTTTACCGATCATGTATTGCAACAACTGAAATTTTATGGTTTCCATCTGTGTACGCAAATTGCTGATTTCTCCCTCGAGACGTGTATCCGTTTCCTGGATTTTCAACTCGATAGCACTGGATTCATCCCTAATCCTACCTTTCTCCAAATTCAAGTCCAATCTTACACCAGCCTGAGTACGTCTTACTTCTTCGTTTAATTTCTGTTTTAGTCTTTCGACTTCTGCTACTAATTGTTCATTATTGGCTTTCATCATGGCAAAATCATTCTTCTCGAGCATCTGGAGTTCTGATTTTAGTTGTGCAAAATCCACTTTATATGCATAGACGGTCTGGGAACGTCAGTTTTAAATGACTTGGGAAACGACACATGTATGCTGATCATGGCAACGTGCATTCATACTTTCTCCTGTTCTGCTTTTGTGACCATATTCTTTACGATTGTTTGCATGCTAAATTTTATTATTATTTTTTTAGAAATAAATTAACTATTGGATTGCGCTACAACCACATTACTAATTAGGTAGGTAAAGCCTACCTTTCATTCATAACTTCGGCCAAAGACGCCATTATGGCTTCTCCCTGTTGACGTGAGAACCCTTCCATTTCCAGTTTCTGCACAAATTTGTTTGTATCAAAGTATTGTTGAAACATGGGGGCGGTATAGTTTAAGTTTCTGATGAATTGTTGTCCGCTTAAGACGGAAGCCACTCGTAAAGCACGAGTGTCTTGTACCATCGACTACAGTTAATAGAAATGCTGGAAACGGAACTTGAACTCTTGCCAAAACTTAATCACCTCCATCAATGGCCCTCCGTGGATTGAATATAAAGGAGCAAGCGGGTGTCCCTGCTGATATATGGACAAGGGTTTGGTTCCAGTTCCGAAGTGTTTTAAGCATGTCGAGGCGGGCGGAGTAAAAAGCGGTTTTTCGGTAGTGTCGTAAACCGACAAAATTTCCAATTAGTTTGTTACACAAAAGTCCCGAGACACTAAAATTTCAGGGGTTTCCGAGCATACATAATAATAATAATAATACAGTTTAATTAAACATCAAATGAGTATTGTTCGTCATTACTAACGAGTCTAGCTCAACCTCATTTGGATGTGTTTACAAAGACCAAAAAGGCTGAAACGCCAAAGTCCCTAAATATTCACGCTTTGTAAAATATAACTTTGACTCGATTTTCAGGAGACATGAGTTTTATACGTCCGATCTTTTTATTCTGAGGGTATGTCATAAGCCATGTATTCATCCAATTATCATCGACACTTAATACTCTTCTGTATGTAAATGAAATCATAGCAGGGCTTGTTTTTGGACTGGAGTATGATGACGATTGACTTGAATTTTAAGGAATTGTTAATCTAGCTCCATGCGTCAACGGTTCGGATAAGTTCTTGGTAATGAAAAATTCAATTTAACTTTCACCGACAGAATTATAGATTAATTGCCGTATTTATAATGCAAGCTTTAAGTCATCCAGATAAAATTTCTGGTTACAATTTACCAACTTCTGATGTCTCTATAATATTCCACATGCAGTATATTTTTAGTCACTCTCGATCCTCGTGTATCTCCTTCCTAAGTTAATATTTTCACAAACTGTTGAAATCACATTACAATCAAATATTGTAATGATCTGTGCATGTCTTTGTATATCAATAAGAACACAATCTTTGTCTCAGAGGATTGACTAAATCAAGGAGACAAGTGCTCTTATGCACAAAAAAGGGTTGGCATGACAAACAATTTTAGTGATGCATACGCCTTCCAGTGTATTTATATATTCTTTGTTGTGGGTATTTAGTATGCGATAGTTGCAGAGTTTTGCAATCACATGGTCGTTCTGCCGATTGCTTGAAAAATGGAAATTCATAGAGTTGAAAGTCTGTCGTCAATTGCAAATCCTGATAAGCTTTCGATTTAAGCGATAATTACTGCTAATTGAAAGTTTGGACAAGATTAATACGCTCCAAACGGTATAACGTCTTCCCATTGTAATTAAGCCTTACGTTGAATAATAATATGTCATATGGAATTCCAAGACTAGTTTTTATTGAACAGCGTAAACAGGCATATCCAAATAGGTGGTTCAAAGGTTCGTTTTACTACGCTACGAAACAATATTTTCTCTAGTCAATTGATAACCAGGTTTAACGTTCATATTTAGATCTTTGTAGTTGCTTTATGAGAAGAATAGCATATTACATGCGACGATTAATAGCACTAGCCACACTACCGAGTTTGAGACATAGAATTTCCTTTTATATCTAAAAGATGCCAAAATAGTCCAACTCCTTAAAGTCCCGCAGATCCTGGACCCAAAACAAAATTCTGTTTTCTTAACTAAACCAAATCGATTACGCACAGGAAGAATTGTGGCGTCATCGTGTAATTGCCAATCCTGACCTCTTTGCAATTCAGTCTCCTCCTCCATATGTCAAATTGGAACCCATAATGGTGGAGTGCCCCTACATTGGTTACCATCAATGTAACTTCACTGCAACTAACGCAGACCCAATTAGGAAGAAGATGAGCAACATGATGCCATAAGTGTTAATGTGAACACTCGCTCTTCAACTGAACAACCCATTACCCTAAACCCAAACAAATTCTGCTCGATTATAACGATACTGGCTAACATGCCAGAGTCCTTGTTTTGTTATATGATAAAAGGATGCATATAAAATAAAAAATACCGTGCCCGTTACCCGCGAATGAGGAAAAGAAAAAGAAGACGAGGAATACAGATGATACCAGTGGAGCGCCTGTCCCCAAATCATGCAGAAATACATTAACATTACTGTAAAAAGGCGCCTGTCCTTGATAAAAAAGGTATAAAAAGGTCTAAATATACAGGACTTTTACTTTTGGGGGTTGCAATAAAGATATTGATAGATGTTAGGTAAGAGGGGTTAATAAAATTATTCACAAGAAATAAAAATGTTCAAAGAAATAATGTACTGTGTGACAGATCACGCTATAAGATGCCGATTCTACTTGACAGAAAGGAAGAACAAAGAACACGTCCTAACATTATCGTGTCATTTTTTTGGTTACGATGTAGTGGCGCCTTGCTCTTTCTAAAAACGGAACGTGATAGCATTAGTAAAGATCATGACTGCCCCCCCCCCCCCAAAAAAAAAAAGACAATAGCACGAATCCTCTCGCGTTATCACGTACTATAGCATTCTTCACTTTCTCAAATTCCTTCAACATCTTACGGCGAGCACCGAGCGCAGCAACGCCTTTATGCTCTAGGCGGGTGTCGTCTAATTCGACAATTTCCTGCCACTTCATTCCCTCAAACATGGGAGTGTATTTGTGCAAACGAAGGCTTCTTAGCCATGCAGGAATATCTATATGGAGTGATTTATTATGGATTGTAAGCGCTTGTCAACGGACAGACTCTGACAGCGAGAAATGAAACATAACAAGAAACTAACCTTGTAACAAGTCGAAATCGACAGCATCGTCACTTTGCTTCTTTTTGTTCTTCCCGTGAACTTTTGAATTGGGTTTGTGAGAAGTATCGCTTTGGTCACTGTGATAGCCGCCAACATCCCCATTTCCATCATAACGCACGCTAACACCCGGAGGAGCCAAATAATTGGTTTTACCACCTCCGCCTGCTTGATTCCAACCCGGATGCACAGCATACAAACCACCTGAAGACTGGTTTTGATTCGCAGAATTCGGTGAAGAAGGCCGTGATTGACGAGCTGGTACCTTTGGACTGGGAAGCGGTGACTGTTGTGGTGAGCGTAGATTTCCGTTTTCGTCATACATGGAAAGAACAATATTGGCAGACGCCGCCGCATATTTTTCCTCTTGGACTGTAGCGGGTACGCCAGACTGGTTATTGTTCTTGCCATGATTGCGACGGAATTTCTTCACATCGCTCTCTAACACGACACGGTTTCCCGAACTATTACTAATGCTCCAGCTGGATAGTTTTTTCGCTGCCAAATCTATTTGTTCGGAAGCTTTAGCGTTTTGTTTCTCAGCAAACATTGGGACTACCGGCGTCGATACCATGCTAGCCCAACTACCGCCAACAAGGGGTGATAACTCTCCATCGAATGCTCCTCCTGGCCTAGGTGAACGTAAATTATACCCAGGTGTCCATGGGAGAGCACTAAGGTCAGCAGACTTGGGTCGCCCATTTGGAGTTCTATCCTTATTACTGCTTTGATTACCAGAAGTAGCGGGTGCCCAGACAGTTTGATCACCCTCTGCAACCATAGATTTCGGCCGGGAAGAATATAATCCAGCTCTGTTGCCAGCGTTTGCTTGAAGACGTGCTCTTTGTTGGGCGAGAGCTGCCGCAGGATCCGAGTAGATAGCGGCGTCAGGAGACAAAAACTCAACGCCCGAGTGTCGATCATACAAGCGACGTGGATATGTTGGGCTAGTCGGCGACTTGAGAGCCATACCAGCTAGTTTTGCCTCAACATCAGCCTTGGCCATAGCACCAGCTAACTGAGCACTCATCATGTCTTGTTAATTAAATCAAACAAAAGAATAATAAGTAAGACTGCGTGGCCTCTAGGATAACAAGTTGCATTCTCTTATACAAACAACAATCGCACTATTATTATGCATATATTAATACATGCACATGCGACTGTCGGGGTATTCCAACAAGTCACCAAAAGAAAAAGTAAAGTCATTCACCTTTTTCTGGGTTTGCAGGTGATAGGAGAGCACCCATTGGATCGCTTCTTGCCATCTGTTGTAGTACTGTTATGAAGAAACGTATTTGGACTTGGGTAGAGTGCTGCAACAAACTGTATAATGCTGCAGTCCGTTCAGCTTCTGACAAAACTCTAAACCATTGTTCGATGGCACCCAATTCTTCCTTAAAGTTCTGGTCTAAACTGGCGTTAGCCATTTCTTCTAGCGTCTGTTCGTAGTGCTGTAGGTCTTCGAACCACTTGTCGATGGCTTCAGCTATAAAAATGTATAGTCTGCGTTAGTTTCGACGTATATACGTGGAACCAGTTAAAAGTAAGGAGATGAGATGCCCTTTGCAAACTCGGGCGCGATAGTTATAAATCCGCCAAATTTTTATCGCTCGGACAGACATGCAAGTCACTTTTGCAACGGCCGACCACATACGGAATACATACCTTCCGGTGAATGATATGTAGTATTGGGAGGGAAGATTTCGGAGGCGGGTCGAGACCCACGGTGATTTGTAGGTTGTTGAGCCAAATGAGAGAGGTCGGTGGAAGAGCGGTATTGGGGATTGGATTTGGAGGAGGGTTGAAGATTAAACTGTTCGGAAGCCGGGCGTTGTGTGGTCATGATGAGTCTCCGGGTTTGTGAATGATATTTCGTTTAACCCTTTAAGTATGAGCATGTGCGAAGTCTGTCACGAGTTCAAGTGAGAAAATATATGCAATTGGTATGGCGCCACCAAGATATTATAACGCCACAGATTACCTTTTCGGATCGTTCAGAAAAAAACCTCCCTTTTTCCAAAGTGTAAATTTTAAAATAGGTTTTGCGTTTTTTTGATTAGTTTATCGGTTATGACAAACATACTAATTATAACTTACTGCAGTAATTCATCATAATTTTGGCGCAGATCAATGCCAAAACAACGCTAGTGGTCAAAAAATTTCCAACCGTAAATATTAATATGCATAGAGTTTATTCTGTTCTGTTATTTTCGTATAAAACGCTAAACATAATTTTGCACATGTTGATTCTCCGAGTCTATAGAGAAAATATTGCAACATCTTAATACCCTTAATATTGTATAATCTTTCTTTGCCCCAGTCTTGAATATTAGTTATGAGAATTAACAATCCGTACACAAGAATGTAATAGTAAGAAATTTACTATTAATATTTATTTTGTTTATAATACAATTCTTTAAAGACTCAAGAATTAATACAACGTGAAAACATTTATTCGGCAATTTATTGTTTGTTTTACAGATTCTTAATTCACAATAAAGGCATTTATTAGCATGAAAGATTAGCTGCGTACAAAAATACTTTATTATTATTATTATTATTATTATGCCGGATATTTCTAATAGACAACCAACAACATTTGTGGGCACATACTTTTTGATTCTGACAATCTATATAGACGCCAGCATCGATACCACCTTTCGACAAACTTATCGTATCGCCTCGATTCATAGCAAAATCTTGAATACTACGATTAAGACTGGAAAATTTCTTATAAACCGACATCAAGAAAAGTAATAATCATAAATCAGTCTCTTTTTCTTTAAATCCATTGTAGACGGCAAACGAGGCAATTAATTAATTAATGACAGTTAAACGTCACACTATTAAATTAGTGCTACCATAAACCGTTGTCAACAAGTGGTCCAAAGTGACAAATATGTCGACAGACCCTTGAATTTGGTAAGAATAGTAACAGTATTTCCATTGTTGTATGTTCATTGTATTAGTGGCCTGCGACCGATCAAGAATTGCATTGAATTGAAGTCAAATGTTTGTATCTTTCGTTTCTTATTAAGCATACCTACGTTGAACACTAGAGGTGGTATCAGAGATTGAGTTCTCTCTTAGACACGCCAATAATGATGCTGCTATATCTCCAAGTATTATTTATTTATTCTCGTTATTAATGGTAAACGCTAAATGGTGCTATGTGCCAAGAATTTAGCCCAAACCTAAGAATAAACGATGACTTAATATAATTTCTAAAATATGAGTTAATTACATTTAGCACCAATCTCCTTTTTTTCTTACTTTCGCACACAGCATACTAATAGTACCTAATAACCTCTAATTTGTAACCCCTAAAATGTAGTCTTTTTCTATTTGTTAGCATTTATGCACTGCAGCACACTTTCAGCATTTCGACGTAGGTGTAACTAATAAGGAAAAGAGGCTTGACCAAATTGAGTTAGTGAGTTAGTCATACTATAAATAGTTTGGTCAGAAAAGGAAAGCGATGTCAGAATACGGAAATAAATAAAAAAGCTAATATTACTCAAAAAATGTTAACAAGGTAATACTCGTTGTATTAAGACCATCGACTGCTAATTAGAAAAAACCATTACTAACAAACAATATGACTTGGATTTATTTTCTCGATAAAAACAAATTTGCACGTCATGTTTATGCATCAGAGACACTGCTTTATTGACCAGTGTGTCGGACATTTCATCGCTAATGACAAAAATAGTTAACACGCTACTTATGATTTCAAGGCAGAGTGCGAGGTTATTCAAATACGTTGTGGGTAATTCTGAATTGTCGCCTACCGCAATTATAGCAATTTCCCATGTGCTGCTAAGCTGTTGGTACAAGTATTCAATACATTACTATTCGGGATCAGCGAAAGAAATATATTCAGGTTTTCACGTGATATAATTTATATAGACGCTATGCTAGAAGATAGTAGAAATGTTGTACCTCAGTTGGGAAGACAACTGAGTTCTGGTCCGAGTGTCTGGGTTTTGGACTGAGTGACTGAGTTCCGAACTGAGACAGGTCCCAAACTCAGACACACATGCACGTCCACGTTATGCAAATAACTAATAGGTCCCAATAAGGGACCGAGTTCTTTATGCAAATGAACAGATTATGCAAATGAACAAATTATGCAAATATACGGTATGCAAATAGACAGGGCCTCGACTGTACTTGTTAAATTAATATTGACTCAACAAACAACACTGTCATAGAAATCTTTTCGCTGTGATATTTAAAACACAAGATCCATGTATTTGTTATGAGAAAAAAAGTATATAGATATATCGTTCAAAGCTAAAGCATCTTTAGATTGACAGAGCAACTTCGTATGTTGCAAAAACCTGCCCTTCACCACCCGAAAATTATTACAAACTTGCAGACTTTCCACTATTTAGTCGGTATTGCGGATTATCCATGACGGAAATTTTCAATAAGAGTTTGCTACCAGTTTTTCTACACTACTCGAAAATAGATGTCGTCGTTAAGTAAACATCTTTGTGATCTAACGTTTACAATTAGTTGCCGGGAATGTTTTTGTTGTTTTTTTTTTTTGCCAATAAAGACTATAAGACAAAAGAAGATACTTCATGGTCAAAAGGGGATTCTTGGTTTCTTTATAATTATTTACATATAAAACATCCAACGAGCAATCGGAAAGCACGCCCTCCAGTTGGAACTTATATTATAGAACAGATATCAATATTAGTTTATCCTAGGGCAGACGAGTGACTCAAATAGTAGAGGAAAACCGGGTTTCTATGAGGTTTGACGCTTGAGACAAGAAAGTGATTAATATTAAGTCTTGTGCTATGTTTTTCTAGGGACTGTTGGTGAAATGATTGTCGATGAAATAATACGGACCTGTTTTTCTATGATGCATGCAGAAAGACTTGAGGATGATTGGTCGAACATGTCTATCCAGGACGTTCTTCAGGAAACTTAACATTACTTACTATTACCAAGTTTACGACTTAATTTGCAGGCAACTATATTTATGGCCTTCTCCATATTAATGTATACATAATTTTGTTACAGACCATTAAAGTAAACAAACACGTGATTCAATATCTAAATAAAAACCTCACCTCCCTCAACTCATTCGTTGATTACTGTTGTGGGCCACGACATTCGTAGTCCGTAGCGGGGCATAAGCGTAGTGTTATTGTTTGTCTAATCTATAATTTACAAGTTCTTTAGCTAGTACAATGTTCGTAGATCGGTATTTTTTTAGTTACAATTCCACCTTTTTTTGAATAACATGATACTTGACTCCTCGTGTTGTGGTTCGGGTAATGTAACAAGTATCACTCAATCAAGTATAAACAAGCGACATTTATTAACTCTGGAAAATAATTTTTTATCTTTGTTCTACTAAAACATTTGCACCAGTTCTGTTTGACAAAAATATAAGCATAAAGAGTGCAACGAACAATATAATGGTTGTTGCTTTAATTTAGATTATCTGTTATTTTGTACTAATGAATATGAGAATTTTTTATAAGAGCTCATTATTAGTTCCGCATGTGCTCCGGAATTTTATACTGATTCTATTGTTCTTATATACGGAAATAATCGTGACAGTCGCGATATGATGTAATAATGTGTTACACCAGGTAATATATCGATATCCGTTATGCTCTACTAAATTATACTTATAAGGTTATATCAAAGTAGTACCAATATATGTCATCTTCCCATCTAACACGCGTCTACTCAAACATATATACCCTCCATTGCACATGTATCGCCTCACAACAAACTCTCCTCCTCCAAAGCGCAAATACAACGTTTATCCTATTCAACAAACAATGCCTTTACTATTACACTTTGCTACAACTCACGAAACAAGTATTCATAACGACACGGTACGGTTTATCGATCACATAACCGATACTCATATAAACACATACATATCCAAACGCTCCTCTCCATTGCACATGTATCGCTTCACAACACCGAAAGCTAAATATACAAATGCAACATTTGTCGCCATCCATATTACGCACATACGACAGTTCGCTACAACTCACGAACAAGAATTAATATATATTTGAAAAGCTGAAAACCAGCAGAATGAATTACTTTCTTCATTGGTCATGCTAACCCAATTAGAGTTAGTTGCAGAATATCATTGACCATCACCTACAGAGATTCTCTAAGTCAAGACTGTTAGAAGGGCCAGTCTATAACTTCACGCATGTTATCCCGAAGAAAGTTTTTAGTGAGGCGACTAGTATGTTTTGGGTTATTGTCTTGTTGAAACGTAATTCATCTCTTAACAAGTCATCAATGTCTGGAAGATGTCTTCGGAGTATGTCTACGTAAAATTGTTTCCCATTATTTCGGAAAAACGGTATAAAACTATCTTGTTCCTTATGCAGAATCAAAGAGCTCCTTTAACATAAGAGTTAACGGGTCGAGATTTTTAATGTTATCATAAGCCATAGTGTGGGAATAACCTTGCGTTTATGAATCTCCACACCATTCCTAATGCTTTAGTCTCACAAATGTTGCATAAATTGACGATTATAATTAGTCTCTTGTCTAGAAGTCATCGTTCTAATTGAGAAGCTTTGGTGAAAATCCAGGTTTTTTTTGTCACACACAGTAGACACATATAAACGCTACTCTCCATTGCACAGCGTTATCTTAAAGTTGAATATAACGCATAAATCTTTGCCGCCACTCTATATTACGCATAAATCTTTGCCGCCACTCTATATTACGCATAAATCTTTGCCGCCACTCTATATTACGCACGACAGTTCACTACAACTCTCGAACAAGTCTTTGAAATGACGGCTCGGTTTATCGACCACATAGCCGACGAAAGAGTTCGCACAAGAATAAATATTCCAAAAAAGTTGTATTGCACGTGAATTTACTAACTTATTCAGATATTCAACGTCTTTTTCAAATATCTTCTCGTCTCGTAAAATAAATAATTCCGTCATAAAATAACCCCAAAAATTATTATCATATCTATTTATACTACTTAGGAATTACATACGAGCCACGTCTCAATTTTGAAAAGTTTACCGACGTCATAATCTCGCTCTATACTCGGAATACTTTTATTCTCATCAGCGCGCTAAGTCTCCCGGTATAATACAATGATACAGTATATTTACTAATCTTATTATTCACGTCGACGATGCATAACAGCGCGAGGGGAGGGGAGTTTAGTGCTGTACTTTACTTGCAGGTAACTATAAGCTGCCGTCATTTCCTTCAAATCTCTGTCTTATCCCACCCAATTTGTTAATACAAACTTTATTCCTTGAACAAAGGTTATCTGGGATCATCCCTAATCGGTGCACTGCTAATCTTCGGCTTCAACATCATAACATCAAAAATCGCAGCAATATTACTCGGGCCTATGCCTCATTGCTGTTCTCATTTGGGCACGTAACTGGCTGACTAGAAGAACCATCATCATTATCGGGCTGATTGTTGTACTTTGGATTGTCCAGGATAGCCAGGGCTGAAATACTTTGTGCTGTTTGTTGGGTACTTTTGATTGTGAAGCCATATGAGTAAAAGTGGAATGGCAAATGTGCCGTTTGTCGTCCAGATCAGTCAGTTTGCGTATATTGCAGAGTTATAACTCTGTCTGGGATATCTTGGTAGGTACTTTTGTATTGTAAATCCTGTCGCATGCAAAATCGCTTCAAGTATACGTATACGTCACTCATGACGCGCTAGCAACATAGTTTGCAAGCTGCTGTGTCCAGCGGACTGAAACAGACGTTAAAATGTAGTCAGAACCACTACAAAGCACTTGGGACGAATCACTCGTTTCCCGATCCATTTTATTTTATTTTTCAAACGTACAGTGAAATTAGCTCGTGCATGCAAGAAGATTGAGGAGGTAATTACAAGTCATGATAACTATTGTTACCATATCACAGGATAAAATAGTATTTATTCTCATTACTTTTTCGTGCACCGTAACTGTCGGTTATTAATAGCAAATATAAACAATTCGTCGTTATATTAATTAATCAATATCTCATGCTCTAGTTGCTGCAGTTTTGATTCCATCTTTGGGTACCTCATTCTCTGGTTTGTGAGAAATATCAAACAATTACATTTAAGGTTCGCTCAAACTTTATTTTTGTCATTCGTAACATATTTAATATTACGGACTAAAGTAACCAATGGTATTTACAAAACCATGTTACACATTGTGACACGAACTTATAAGCTCTTTTTGTTTTAAATCTTAGCCAGAGGTTAGAATTTGATAGGTAATAGGTGGCGTTCTTAACAAAATAATGATCCTAAATACGAGCCGCCTTGCCAATCATTTCTTCAAGAAAATGTTCCTGAAGTTACTATTACTGATTGGCCTTCTAATAGCCATAATCTTAATCCCATTGTGAGTATTGTTAAAAAAAACGCATGCCAAAAAACTGTGATGAATTGGCTGAGTTTATGGTTGAGGAGTGATTCAAAAAACCACGTTAATTAATATAGTTGGTTCAATGAGAGATAGATGTAGGTTTATAGTAGAGAAAAATGGGTGAACAAATTCCATATTAAATATTAAACGAGATATTAATGATAATGATTGGTATATTAACAATTTCGTGTCAAGTCGGCCATTGTAAATTGCAAATTATGCTGTGGCGAATCAATAAAAATCAGTGGTTCTTTTTCTTCTTTACATCGAAAGTAAAAAAAAAAAAGTAACAATGTATTTGGAATTAGAATTGCCCGCTGATTCAATTATACACGTACAGTAACGCAAGAATATGCAACTTTATGTTATATAAAGTAAAATAATAAGATGCTTCCGTGTGCCATTTGATGTAGCTCCATTATAAATACATTCGATACCCACAGACATCCTCATCATTTATCAAACACGCACCATTTCCAGTGATACGGCATGAAAAACTTGGTTCTTAATCATCCGGAAAGAATAATTCGTTACAAATGGATTGTCGTGGTCATTGTGTACCTCGCCTTCTGGAATATGGTCGACTATAATATCAATGCATTTGAAGTGCCGACAGTCAATGAGGAAGAGGTAATTATGAAGAAGTAATATTCAAAAAGTCTTGCCCAAAGTTGGATGATTGATCATTCTTTTTGGGGTAAGATCCTTAGTAGCCCCTAAGCAATCATAGCGTGATTGTGTAATTTGCAGATTGCCAGGTTTTTGGCGTTAATGAGATGAAGATATTATTGCCTATTGACTACTACCGCCAAGAAGTTAGTTAGAAATCAAAGAATTCCTAATTTAGTATTAGAATTGTTGTGGACGTTCAAGAGGAAATTCAATTAGCCTATTCACAGAATTATAATAACACTTGGGGAAACCGTACATTTAATAATTAACACATTATTCTATGGTTTAATAGGTCAGATATATTTTATTTCTAATAATATCCTTTCTTTCTTTTTTTTTTTTAATTGCAGCCAAACTACTACTATTTTTTTGACGAGCCCGTTTATTAGCCAAGAAGTAACCGATATAGAAGAGCAAACAAATCTGAAGTATTGCGGCTCGCCCACATGTCGGTTTTTATTTCCGGTTTCCGTAAGGAAGCAAGAATCCAGAGCGCGACTACACATGAGACACATAGTGATGTTGACAGACAAAACCAATCGAGTATTAGTCTTACTTAATGTCGGGGATGCAAGACTAGGTTAGGTGCATGCAAAAATTTTTTCATTCGATTTTTATTACTCTATCGACGAGATTCAGCAGTCTCCAAACATCAGAGTTATTACACAAAGTCAATTTCTGTTGAGATGAGAGAAATAAATGCGAAATTACCTACTGCAAAGGTTGCCTTGTTAGACTGTAGTTACAAGATTAAGAAGTCAATCTCGAAACGTACAAAAACCACAACTGCATCCAACCGTTCTATTTGGATTACAAAGACGAAGCGCTCGACATACGAACGAGAAAAACGTTCGATGACCGAGCTTTAATCGCACGTTTTGTTACCGATGGTCTTCGATCGGTTCAATCAGATGTCTTACTAATGCATTATAATTTTACCGGATTTAATTATCCAAATCTTTACCGAGTGACTCCACTTAATATTCGATTATCTTATTGAGCGGACAAAGGATGCTGCATCATTAATACGGCCATGCATCGTGTTTTTACTCTGCTGGCGTACCCAAATTTGCCGGAAGAGTAATAATCAGTTGTCAAGGTCCCATATCAATAGTATTAGCTCTATTCCGAATATGCTTCATAAGTGGAAGCTTTGAAGAACAAATTTCTTCTCTATTTCATCGGTTTATGGTAGGCAGTAGCGTGTCCTCAGTATTTTCGCTCATAATAAACACATAAATACAAGGGCGGTTTGTTAATCTGGGTGGATTGGCAGATATTGTTTCTTAGTATTCATTATTTTAAAAACGATGCATGTATAAATTCGTAATATTGGTTAAAGTAGTAACAATAATCTATGCACAACGGTTGGACAGATATGATAATATCAAGGAAAGCGTCCTTTAAGCAATTATATCAAAACCGAAACTTCATGCATCAAAAATAAACAATCCTGTATGT